ATCCGAAAAGTTCCCACTCCGTAGACCCGCAGTTTTTTCACAAAATGCTATTTTATCTTCACTAATTTCACAGCAAATTTTTTCATTGTTCAACGATACGGATCGATGACGATACAAGATTATGTCACTCAAATGGGCCAATTTCAATTAACAATTCTTCCTTTTAACAAAAGATCGGTTTTGCTCGAATCATTTTGAGTTATGCAATCTTATGCGTGTTGGACGTAAACAACATATTTTGTCTACAACTTTGAGAAGGTACAGATAACGCTTTCTAAAACCCTCAGTTCTAGAGATATCTCTATAAAATCACAAGGACATTAATGTCAAGTCTTTTAGCTATGTCACTGGCGAGAAAAGTAACTAATTTAACGCGATCAAGATATTTAAAACAAAAGTAACGCAAAGCCAACGTAACGGCAAAGACAACGTTAAAACGAAATATTGTCGAATGCTTGCAGGTAGAAGACTTACGACAGGATCAATCTTAAATAACCTTAAGCTATAAGAATAAATGTTCACATCAAAGACAAAGATCAGTCACAACGTATAAAATATGCTCTGTAAACTTACCGCGAAGTGGAGAAATGTGTCCATGAGCTGTTTATTCGATGATTTCGACGAATATAGAAGCCCTCTTTCCAATAATACTCGCTTATCGCACAATATAACACCAACTGATATAATAGTTCAAATGCAATGATAAGTTATCTCCTGAATTACGTCTTGGAAACCGTGTTGGAAATTTCCATGCTGATCCATTACATATAGATTCCCGTTTTATATCTTTGTTTAAAACATTTTGATCCCATGTAAGGAATTATTTCTCAGCCCAGAGACATAGCCCAAAGATTTGACATTAACGTCCTTTTGATTTTATAGAGATAGTTCCAGAACTAAGAATATTATAAAGAATTATCTGTACCTTCTCAAAGTTGTAGACAAGATATGTTGTTTACGTCCAACACGCATAAGATTACATAACTCAAAATGATTCGAGCAAAACCGGTGTTTTGTTAAAAGGAAGAATGGTTAATAGAAATTGGTCCTTTTGAGTGACATAATAGTGTATCGTCATCGACCCGTGACGTTGAACAATGAAAAAATTTGCTGTGAAATTAGTGAAGATAAAATAGCATTTTGTGAAAAAACTGCGGGTCTACGGAGTGGGAACTTTTCGGATTTGAACTCAGCGTGTTCGAAAGTGTTAGTTCCCGTAAAAGTATTTCAGTTCTAAGACATGCTTAATGAAAATTGTTTTCTGGGCACTTTTCGAGGTCACAACACACGGACTAATTTGGCAAGTTAATTATTAACTGTGTTTAACTGACATGCCAAAATATTAACTGATAGCTGACAAACAAGCTAAATTTTAACCGACAACTGACATGCACAACCCCCCATTCAGACCCTCTTACAAGCGGCGGAAAATTTCCCGTGTTGACATCGAGTTATATCACACGGCTCTTAGCCAATCAGCGTTCAGACTTTACAAATGCTATATTATAATGTCAATTTGTAAACGTTTATACTGTTCAGCCGTGAGCCGTTGCAATTTTGAAACATATATTCGCTCATAGCTGGTCATAATATGTATGATTTTGGAATTTATTGTAATGTTTGGACCTAAGATGGTATTGTCTTCCTTTTGATATAAATATATTTTTTAGTTCCGTTCATTATCCCCGAGCCGACGGCGCGAAGCGCCGTGCGAGGGTACTAATTCCCCCCGGCTATTTACACCCGGGGAAACGAAAGCATTAACCAAGTCTAAAGTTCATCAATGAGCGCGGGCGTGGGTTACCGTGAGTGGTCAGCCTCGTACCCAGGCGCAAATAACGTACTAAAAAACAGCAACACTACAGTTTTTTTATATAGATCAGTGGCTGAGCGAGCGCGCGGGGGTGCTTGGGGAGGACTTGGGAAGCGAGGCGCCTGGCAGAATTTGTAACAAACATGGCGGACATGAGAATGCAAAGAAGGAAATTGCTGTACTATATAAATGAAATTGAAAGGCTTGCCTAACGAGCGGTACATTTGGGAAAGATTTTATGTCCAAATGATCACTGCGTTGATAATAAGGATTTTTCCTCGAAAACGGTATTTTAATTAAAGGTCTCCTCAGGAGACCAGCCTCTCGAAATTAGAAAGTCTGCTGGTCATGAGAGAACTCGAGATTATTGAACATTCTAAAAAGAATAACGATGTATTTCAAATGGTTGAAAATATATGTCTGGTGTTGGATGCACATCATGAAATATACTGCCTTTTTGCGGTTTGAAAGAGAAACTGACCAAGCAAAGTCAAAGAAACTGTCTTATTCTTGAATCTTTTAATTTTAATATAAATATTTTAATACTACATTGAATTTATATAGAATGTTGAAATTACTATTTATTTGTACTGATGATACCTTTTACCTCAGAGGAGAAAATTTATAACTAGAAAATATTTTAATATTTTATTGTAGGTTTCTTAGTTTCTAAAATTTTACCAATAAAAAGGCCTATATTAAACATGCATGACTGCTTTATAGTATGCAAAATATCAGTGAAGATATAAACATTTAATAAATTTAATAATATAAAACCTGTTTTGGCCATTTAGCTATTGTTGTAACTGGCTGACAGTAAGTTTAAAGGCTAAAGCACAAACTAACACAGTGTTTTATACTTTGATGTGTATTTTGTTCTTCACCTTGCATTTGACCTATAAAGGCTATTGCCCTTGATTGCCAAAATCTACCATGTTTACACTAAGGAGTGGGGTAGACTCTGGACTTACCTGTGGCCACATATAATGCATTTGACACCTAGTTACAGGACAGTGTCTAAAAAACTGGACAATTTAATGGTATGGTTGCATATTGCAATTTGTTGGGCTGATGCATGTTAATAATAATCAACGATATTTGAAAAATATGTGGCAAACATCATCTGATGGTCTCACTGAAAATATGTGTCAACATTAAATATACACACATTACATATACATACACAAAAATACATATACACATGTACCATATACACACTTAACACACATGATTTACCCTGTTGTCATGGAAATTGGTCTCGGGATTAAACAATCCAAACATGTATATATATACTACAGGGTTAGCCACCCCAAATTCTTCACCTGAAACCATTTCAGGTCACTCAGGGTAGGTCCCAGTAAAGTGCTTGGACAACAACAAGACCTATCCCAGTTGTTTCTGTGCTTGTTCCTAAATCCTGTATATGGTCATTGGTTCAGCCAAGTTAGAACGGGCATATGTTTTACACAACTTGACTGAATAAGATATACCTCATCAACATGCTATGCAAACAACAACCCCTGTAACATTTAAAGTCTTGAGAATTTTATTTATTTTGCTCATAACATAAAGTACTACTATTTACATTCAAAGGAATCTAGCTAGAACTAGCAATATTTATGCAAATTTAATACTCTTGTGGGTTTTTATTTATAGACCCATGCACTCACCCACAGCTGAACTTCTCAACAAGCTAGGTACATTGGCACAAATTAACAGCTTAGCCCATCAAGTTCCACTGCACCCTACTGGGGCTATGGTGGCGTGCTGATTGTGCCACCGACTTTGGTAGTGCAATTGTCAGAGCGAGGACTTTTTACATCTGAGATTGTTGGTTCAATTCTCACCACTTCAACGACACTTAAGTGTGAAAAGAGTCATGCTGTCAACACTCTGACAAAAGTTGTGGGTTTTCTCCGGGAACTCCAGTTTTCTATAGAGGGAATGTTGACGGGTGGCTTGGGATTAGCCTCTAACTCACCCTCCATAAGGTGGCTGCCAGAGGCACCCTTAGAAAGTCTTTTACTCAATCAAATTGTGCTATGTTGAACTGTATCAGCTACAGAGAAAATATACATTTCATGGGTTGCAAATATAATATTATATCTATATTCATATCACATGTAGTTGAAAATCTTTTGGAATTCAAGAACATCAGTGACAAATGTCAAACTGCACACAATACACTGAAAAACAAAAATATTCAAATCACTTCATGGCAAATTTAATATACATGTATCAAGCAGTAGTCATAGTAGTGACAGCACTACTGGGTTCTGTATCAATTCAGTGATTGTTTGCTGAAAATAAACTAAGTATTTACAACTTTTAGAATTGTATAGTATAAAGACATTTGATCAGCAAATCTCTTTGGCTGGAACTCGACATGGGCTTTTGATTCTGGTGTTAAATTATTGAAGGTGCATCCCTGGTTGAAATTATTCTTTCTCCCTTTGTGGGCAGCTTACAAATTCTTTTAAAATATGAAACCTGTCCTATTTCTTGTAGTCATCTTGACCAAGATTTAATGATTTATACAATGATGCACACATAATATACAGAGAATATTAAAATGAAATCTCAAGGCAAACCAATACAAACACTCACCTCTAACACTCATTTCTTGATAATTCCTTCAGCGATTGTTCCAGGTCACCCATAAGCACATATAAATATAATATTCAGCACCAAAAACGCCAAAAATAATTGAAAAGGCACGAGTAAAAAGCTGAATGGTTCGATTCTTCAGATATCGTATTTCTGAAGAATCATATTTACATTTTCTGCCAGGCGCAGCAGAATCCCGTCGTGTGTTGACCTAGCACCCCCGCGCGCTCGCTCTCTTAGCCACTGATCTATATAAAAACACTGTAGTGTTGCTAATTTTTAGTACGTTATTTGCGCCTGGGTACGAGGCTGGTGAGTGGTTCCGTGGTTGGTGGGTGGTCATCCTCACTGATCTCAAAAATATGGCGGACTATCATGAATAGTCGACACTGATTGGTCCAATTTAAAGTTTGCATTATAACGACTGCATGACGACAGCGAAATAGCAAACATTTCTTGATTTGATGATTGATAAATTTCTTGCAAATATATTTCATTTTTGATCGCATTTTTGCAAGATTTTGTAAATTTTAAGAAAGAAATGGCAAAAGAATCGGCTAAAAGAAGGGAACCGACGTTAACGAAGGTAAGTTTGTTTTAAATATTGATTTTATAATTGGTTTAAAACCCGACGGCCTTTGGCTTTGCGTATATGAAACAACTAAACAAGACAACATATAATTTCAGTGTATCTTTAATATTGATTCCCTTTTTTATTATATTGAATTTTTTAAATAAAATTAAAGGAAAGCAACGTTATTTGCATGCGAGAATTTGAAGTCATTTTATTGCAAATTCAAAGTTTATCGATAAAGCCATAGTTTAATAATTAAAGGCAGTTAATAGTTTTATAAAGAACATTTTAAAACGTTTTGCGAAGCTTTTGTGGTTGAATTTTACCTTAAATTGAAGCTTATATTACGTATAATAACATACCTAACATATATATGTTGGGAAATTGATAATTTTGTAATTAAAAGTGATATTTTTAGGCGATTTTTCATTTGTAAGAATATTCTTAAAAAATTATCGTGTTACCATGACAACAACTTTGGATACTTCATGTTCGGAAAATACAATGGTTTTGTTAGCAAGGCGAGGGTTTCTGCATGCATGTATTTTCTAGTTAATACGTAAAAATGTTTTGTTCTAGTGAATTGTATCACATATACTAATGTATCGAAATGTGCCAAACCTACATCACCGGTGTAAATTCTGTTTTATTTACTCCAAAAGTAATTTAAACTGCCCATTTTTTTAAAGTTTGAATTCTCGAACCACTCTATATGAACTACAATAGTAATAAATTAAAGTATATTTATAGTTATTACTCACACGGCATCACGCACACGGATTTCAGAAAATATGATTGGTTGGATTGGAAATAAATTATCATAGTAATTAGTAGGCGGTTATCAAATTTCCTTGAGATTGTTGTGGGCTCTTATTTACCCATTGAGCCTGCCACGCAGCAGTGCCGTAGCCAGAACGATAATTGAGGGGGGCACATATTCATATATTCGTGTTCACATACCATAAAAACAATTGATTTCAAAAGAAATCAATAAAGCAGAACACGAATATATGAATATGTCTTAAATTATCGTTCTGAAAATAAATTAGTGAATTTATTTTCCTTATTTGATCTAGGTCTTCCCGGGTAACAATACTTGATATTCCAATCTTGATGTTGGAAATTTAGTTTTTAAGTTAGAAGCTAATTGCCCAACTTTCTTAGCACAGGTTTCTGCTGTGTCAACAGGCAGATTGTTTGTTCCAGCATGAATTATAATGTGGAACTGTGTTGATTTTAACTTGATTTGGTCTAATTGGTTCGATATTTCATCAGCTGTTTTGCCCGGAAAGGTTATTTTCGTAACATTCCTACTCGATATCTTTTTCGGTATTATATGTTTGATTATTGAGTCCCCAATAATAACAATTTGGCTTTCTCGATCTAAGTTCATGTTGTTTTGGGGATCATTATGGTTATTTGTTGGTAACTCTGGCTTACCTTCTATCCAAGTACCCGAGTCTTTCCGGTTAGGCACTTGTTCATTGATCACGTTACATTCAACAGTGACTTCCTCCTCAGCTACTTGAGTACCGGTTTACTTGCTACTCAGCTACTTGAGTACCGGTATGTAATTTTTTATTTCAATTTTGGTCAAACAAACGCGAATTTTGCTCCCGAACTTTGTTATAATTTAGATAGATAGATTCAACTTTATTTAATTTAAGCACACTAGTCCCATTCAACACTAAGCTGATTTCCATGAGAGGTGTGCTGGCTAATTGTTACAATTTAAAAACTAATTTACTAATACATACAGACTATTATTATATAAATCTATTAAATATTCACTTAAATAAACTACTTAATTTAATAAGGCCGAGGGCGAGGAGAAAAGGTTTTTACAAAACGAGTTGTAAGATATCGAATTTCGAATATTTTTTGGTATTCTATTCCATAATTTAGCCCCACTGTAACTGAAACTTTTTAAAAAAAATTCTGTCCTGGGCCTTGGAATAAAAAGCCCAGTTGAAGAACCTTTTAAATTATAACTATTTACAGTGTTGGAAGATTGGAAAATGTTACACAGTCTTTGTGGAGCTAATTGATTTACTGTTTTGTACATGAGTTTGGCCTTCATTAATGCTCTACGTTCTTCAAGGGATGTCCAACCAAGAGCAGTACGAGCTACGACAGACTGTCCATGCTTATTTTTAAAATTCATAATTACTCTAGCCGCTCGATTTTGCAATTTTTGAAGACGTTCGCCGAGGCCTTTGCCAAGCTCATCCCAAACCTCACAACAGTAATCAAAATGCGGCTGGATCAATGCATTATACACCAGCACTAATGTATCTCGGTCTACAAATTCTTTAAGGTTTTTTAACGCACCAATCCCTGAAGATACTTTACTAGCGATATATTCAATATGTTTTTCCCAGTTTAGGTTCTCATCGATTTCAACTCCTAGCACTTTTGCGCTTTTTACTCTTTTGATTGGAGATATGTCGATATTAACTGTGGGTTGGACATCCATGCTATTTATCTTAGAACGTGATCCAGTCAAAATATATTCCGTTTTCGCAATATTTAAGCTAAGTTTGTTTGAAGACAACCTCACTTTAATATTTTTCAAATCCTTATTCGCTATCTCTTCTGCCTCATTTAATGTTTTGCCCACAGCTGTAAGGCTGGTATCGTCTGCAAACATCCTTGGTGTTGTATGTTTGAGACAATTTGGCAAATCATTTATATAGATAATAAACAGAAGAGGGCCAAGTATACTTTCCTGAGGGATGCCGCAGTTATTCCTCTCTGATCTGAAAGCATTCCACTTAGCTGACATCTTTGTGTTCGATTTGTTAAGTAATTACTTAGTAAATCTAGGGCTTTATTACCAAAGCCATACCGTTCAAACTTACGTAAACGAATTTCATGGTTGACAGATCGAATGCTTTCTTTAAGTCGAGAATTAAGAACAACTATGTTGTATAGGCAACGGTCCATGTTAATATACCATTCAGTAGTACAATCTAAAAGTGTGGTAGTTGTGGAATGAAATTGTCTAAAACCAAACTGATGTTCTGAAAGAATATTCTGTTTCTTTAAATAATCATTACATTTGGTCGTACAGAATCCTTTCCATCAGTTTGCTGACCACAGGTAAAATTGAGATTGGTCTATAATTGTCTAACCATGGATAATAAAATAAATGGATAGGAAACTAGCTGACTTGACCTAATGTTTTTACTGGGATTGATGGCGTGGCTGGGTGCCTCAACCTAGTTGAAAACCAAATTCTCAAAAACGGCATGTTTAGCAATAATACAGCTAAACATTTTAGTCAAAGAGCAAATAAATGTAACCACGCCATTCTATACGATGAAAACTCTAAGTATTCCCAGTCAATTTTAGCAAATATTTCAAGCACTAAACAGTGAAAAATACATCGCAAATTTCGCAAAAATTTGTGACGCCAATTTCGTAGCTACAAATGTAAAAAAATACAAAACAAAGACGAAAAACATTTACCTTGAATACTTTGTCGTGGCTTAGGCATGTTTTTAAAACAACTAGACCAGTTTACGCTTCAAGATCACCCTTTTAAAGTGGAAAATATAGCAAAACAACAAAAATGCCGAGAACTTTGGTAACATTCGCAATACGCGTGACGTCACGTTTTTCAACAAGGATGCAGTCAATGACGTCAGAAGTTTCCAATCCATTTATTTTATTATCCATGGTCTAACATAGTCCGTTGGCCTTTTTTAAAAATTGGAGTTACTCGTGCTGCTTTCCACTCCATCGGGAATCTGTCAGTGGCAATAGACATATTAAAAATCCTTGTTAAAGGCTCTGCAATAGCAGGAGCTGCAGCCTTTAATACTTTAGCTGAAATTTCGTCGATACCTGTAGCTTTGGAGATAGTTAATTTGGTTATAAGCCTATAAACTGTTGCAACATTTACAGTAGCACACTTTCGCAACTGCACAGAGGGATGGCTTTCAAGGCTGACATCTTATCAGCTAATCAATCAATGAATTTGTATGTTTTTATAAGTAAAGATGAATCAAGCAAATGGCGAATAAAACGCTTTGCCAGCGCGTTTAGTTTTGATACGGTGCAGCCCTCGACACAAGTAAGTTCGAGCTTCTAGGAAAGCGAAAAAAAAATTCCCAAAAAAGTATTCCATTTTTGTTAGTTCTGTACCAAACCCTTTTGATGTGCCAGGTTTCAGAGAAATTGGTTTTCTGACGCGAAGTTCGACGGACCGCTGTTAGGGAGACTGCCACTTAAGTCGCGTTGATACGCTATATTACGGCACGGTATTAAAGTAAAAACGCTATGGGCATACTATTACATTTAAAAATCAAAATACTCGGCGTAGTAGGTTTAAAAGTGCTTATATAACAATACTGCGTCACGAAGAGATTACGTAATGTTCGCTATTTCTTTATTCGAGCGGTTATCTGATCATAATATAGTAGCTTTTTTGTAATTTTTTACCCTTGTCCTCCACATATTAACCCCACCCTTGACATTTCACCTTCAACATTTAACTCGTCCTCGACATTTTATCCTCGACAATTGACCCTTGGCAGTCGACCAATAAGATAAACTCATTATTTTACTAGGAATGTATATGCATTGGTGTTACACCGACATGGAGAAAGAGTCTATACAGGCTTGAAAAAAGTCCTCACGGACCATCTGGAACAAAAGGTGAGGTTCGATTTTCAAATTTGATGAAAAATCTTATTGATTATCAGCTTTGGTGTTTTGTAGGTAGTGCATTTTTAAAATGGCGTTGATTTCGGCCAAAAATCGATATCTTACTTGGTGTATTTTTGTGTCGACTCTTCGTTCTACCAAACTTACGTATATGCATGGACAACGCGGACACTAAATATTCTCCAGAGAACATATATACACATAAATATATAGCATGTGTATTACACACACTGATCATTTGATGATGTTTCTGTAAGTCGTACGATTTTCCAGGTGCACAATTTTTCAAAATTTTGCGAGCCGCCAGGGCATTTGGCAAAATTTTCAAACATCTTAGGCTCTTTTCCACTCGTCGCAAAGCCAACTCGCAAGTTCGCAGCGAGTGTTTGCATCTAATTAAAATGAACTGTCGAACATTGTGATTGGTTGAAAGTACTCGCAGTGAGCTTGCGAGTCGGTTTTGGCGATGAGTGGAAATTTAAAGAGCTTTTAATCTGTAACTAAACATGGCAGTGTTATACCATGTTATTTAATATATTCAATACTATATATTCAGTATACTGTTATAATTATAAGAGGAAGACCTTAGGCAACCTTCCTCGCATGAATAAGCAAATATTTAGAGAGATTAAAGAACCACGGGAAACGCCTAGTACCACAACCCACGCAAACAGGACATAGTTTTGTGGTTGATAAACACTGCTAGAACTTGCTTTGACAAACATATTGCGTAGAGGAAATTAGTCATAGTTACAGATTTCTTCCTCTAAAATTTATTATAAAAGCTGAGCACAACCTGAGAGTCGAGAGCGGAGAGTGAAGTGAGAAGAGCCATTTAGGCTAAAATACTTCATAAGCCCACAAAGGCTGAAGTATATAATTAAAAGGCTAGATAATTAAGCCTCGTCAAGTAAACTGAAGAACATTGGAATATTGTGGAATAATTATTATTAAAGAAGACGGAATACAAAGTATAAAGAATAAAGATTCAAAGTTGTGCTAAGCTCAAACAAATAGAGAGATAAGTTGATATATTAAGATTACTATATTATTATAACATTATAGAGACGCTAATTCATATTGTTGAAAGTAAATAAAATATATAAAAGGTATAAGGTTTCATGCTATTTGTGTTACGGTAGCGTTAATATAATTTGAACCCGAAGCCTAAAGGTTGAAAATATACCTAATTGGAAAATATATTTGACGCATAAATAACGCACCATAACAAATCGTTAATCGTACGAGCAACATCACCTGATTTTTTGTTTATTATTTGCATGGCAAAATTACGAATTAATGAATAATGGCAGCCTCTGGTGACTGAATTTTTTTATCTGCCCTCGTCATTTATAATGTGAAAGAATGTATCAAAGACGTTAAGAACACATGGATATAAGTAGAATACATTAATATTGCAGATTTCAAATTGTTATAGGAACATATGCGTCTTCTAATTATTATGATACATTACAGTTTTAAAATAATAAGTTCGTTTACTGTCTAATGCTTTATAGCATAATCGTTTTGTTTTAATGGGTGAATCCTACGTAAGAAATCGTAAGTGACTATTGTTTTAAGAAATTTTACAATCTGTCTACAGGTTAGCCAGTCCGTCGTCGATTCTCTAAGGAATAATTCCTCGGATGCTCTTGTTCTCGCCTGGCGTGATCACCAAACATCAATGTTCTGCATCCGAGATATTTTTATGTACATGGTAGGTTATTAATAATTGTTTCTATTACGTTAGTGCTATACACAGGGGGCTTACTCACTGCATGTACGAATATAGACCTTTTTAATAAGTCAAAATTTTCGTTGATGTGTCGTGTACTTACAAGCACAGAAAGAACTTTGTCAGTTAACCGAGTCAAATCCGAGTCACTGTTTAGTGGTCTTTGTAGTTCAATGACTTAGTGCCCTAATCCTAACCCCACCCCTAACATACTCTACCCTATTTGACTGTGAATTTTATTCAGTTTCGGAGTTTGTCGGTTGACCGAGTCAAATCCGAGTCTGAGTAAATTGTCGGAGTCACTCCTTAATTAAATTAACTGTCTTTGTCGGTTCAATGACTTAGTACCCTAACTCTACTCCTAACCCTAAGGGATTCGACTGTGAATTTTCTTCAATTTCAGGCCATTTAAAAACGTGGGGGTCTGGTATCGGCTTCACTGAAATTCATAACAACCATATGCACAACTGAGTGAGTGGGTGGATCTATCTAAACTATCTTTGCAATGCAATTACTTTGTTGCCAGTGTTTACAGATCCATCCAAGTAAAATTAAGATGAACTTTTTGACATCCATTACATTACAATGCACCCATATTATTCTGTTTACTCAGTCAGAATTGTAAAACTATATAACATTAACAGGAAAGAAATTGTAAGCAGATTGAGAAAATATATTCTGAAATGTAGTCATGCACTACAGACGATTAATATATGAACATATCTTGAGGATATATAAAAATAAAACAGACCAATTTACATATTAATATATGTCTTGAGAATAATCTACACCTGTAGCTCTACCGGGTGTCCCAAAAAAAAGTACTCCGGTTTGATTCGTAATAACTTCTAAACAAGTAAAGCTTTTAAAGAGAAATAACTTGCATCAAATAGAGGAAGGACTAACTTGTATTTCACTTAAAAATTCACGGAGATATTAAGGTTTAAAATCTCCGTGAGCATATTTTTGGATGTGTCGGAAATATGCAAAAAAACGGCGTATCAAATATTAATCAAAATTTGCCCGATTGAAACATGGACTGTTATACCATTAATTGAATGACACTTGACAAATTGTTTATTATGAAACAAAGTATTATTATCTACAAAATACAAGCAAGATTTATTCGTCCGAAATCCGCGTGTGTTCCTTAGACGAATAGCTACGTTTCCTTATTTCATGAGACCACTGCATCGCAATTAAATTAAGGATCGTCATGGATATTGTTCGTAGTTCTGAATTAGGGCATACTGTCACAATGGAATTGTGAAGCTCTTCTAACTTCTGCAAAGTTCTGAAATCTTGTTAAGAACACTCAAACTCTTTTGCTTTTTCTTAATCTTGTTAAGTTCAGAATAAACTGAGAATGAAACACAATCTAACCATACAACTTCATAAGACATAACAAGCAACTCCCCAGAGACATGCAACATTTTTGGAACAAAACGTAACAAAATAGTAGCGTTGATACTGTGATATGTATTTGCAAAAAGCAATATTATTTCCTTCATTAAAGAAATCATTCTGCTCAAACCGAGAAATAATCAACTCTGTTTTGAACCCATGAAAAACATAAAAAATTAGGCCATTTAACAAAAATTTAAGCGCCTGCCTTGCATATATGGTTTTTCATGTACCTTTTAGTTTGTAAAGACCTATTAAATACTTGCATAATTTCGAACGTTCAATATTTCAGGAAACAATCAGCTAAGACTTACATGCATGTTAAAATGTCTAAATCTGCGCCATATCCCTTACAAACCCTAACGACAATTCACTGAAATACAAGTTAGCCTGATATGTCATTAAGCAAACAAACGCTGGAGTTAATATTTGATATGCCGATTTTCGCTGATTTTCGACACATCCCAAAATTATTATTATTATTATTATTATAAATTTCCAAACTAGCAGTAACAACTGAATTACTTCGGAAATACAGGGTATAAGAACATAGGTATTCAATCTATTCTATATTTAAAGGTAAAAATAGGTAAGTTAGATAAAAATAACGATAATAATCAAAGTTTACTTATTATTATAAGCACGAGACGCAGCAGGAATGAAACTGTTCGAAAAACGTGTAGTTCTACACCTAGGTACTAATAAGTTGGGACATAGTTAATAGAGGAGAGGGTTTGGAAGCTGGGGGCGTGGCGAAATTATGTTATTGTTCTCTGTCACGTGACAATACGGGTGCATCAAAATCTATTTGTAATAGGAGATTGTATTACAGAGGAGGCTGTAGTGCTTGAAAAACGTCTTTTACAGAAAGGATATCCAAATATCAGTTGCAAATTGCTCCATACATGGTTGCGGGACTAGTAGAAAACACTTTGGTCTCAGTATTTTTTGAAATCCAACAAAAGACGACGATTTATCGACGAAAATTCGCGAAGCGTTGGCGAGGCTTGTCACAAAGGACGCTGGATCGAGAGATGCAAGTTTAAGAAATCAAATCGCTCAACAAACACTTCACGTTTGTGAAAGATACTTTGAAAAGACCCAGCCGAAACATGTAAGTTATTTTCTTTCTCTGGTAGAGGTATTGATATTTCGGTATGAACGCTTGAAAGTTACAACTTAGCAGAAGTACTATATATTTCATGTATCAAATTATCAAATTTGTATTAACCATATGGTCATAGAGCAGGAAAAATATATTAAATATTAATGATTTGCATAAAAGTGCGTTTCGATCATTAGGTCATATTTATATAACAGTTAACCCTTGTGTTCATAAAATGAAGGTATACATATTATTCAGGACACTGTCACTGAGGACAGTAGAAACATTTTCGTATACAGTAAACAAAGTATTATACAGTATTCAAAGGCTATTTTAATAGCAAGAAACTGGCATAATAAAGTAACAGGATTTTTGTTTGGCCATGTCATAGTATATGAAAGCCCCATTTACAGTTATTATAAATCTTGTTTGCTGTGAATTTTATTATAATTACTATCTTAACAATACTTGTATAAATCAAGTCAACTTACTGTATATATAATCAGATATTTTATGTTCTGCTTTAGTTCCCACCTGCAAAAGGCTTGTAGCTGGTGCTATTCCTACATTTAATTTACCCCAGAAAAGCATACCTCTCTACATCGACAATTGGAGCCAGGTAACATTGCTGGTCGTCACACTGGTCAGAGGAGTAAATGGTATGGTGGATTAGAAAAGGCCTTGCCGTAACATAAAACAGAAGTAATCTAGTGAGAACTTT